GATGTGGATAACCTGGAGAGGGTCCAGAGGAGGGCCACTCATATGGTTAAGGGCTTGCAAGCCAAGCCCTACAAGGAGAGACTAAGGCACCTGGACCTTTTCAGCCTCTGCAAAAGAAGGTTGAGAGGCGACCTTGTGGCTGTCTATAAATTCATCATGGGGGTGCAGGAGGGAATTGGTGAGGCTCTGCTCACCAAGGTGCCCCTTGGGGTCACAAGAAATAATGGCCATAAACTAGCAGAGAGCAGATTTAGACTGGACATTAGGAGGAAGTTCTTCACAGTTAGCGTGGCCAAAATCTGGAATGGGCTCCCAAGGGAGGTGGTTCGTAGCAGGTAGAAGAGGGGGTCTTCAAGAGGAGGTTGGATGGGCATCTAGCTGGGGTCATCTGACCCCAGCACTCTTTCCTGCCTATGCAGGGGGTCAGACTTGATGATCTATTGAGGTCCCTTCCAACCCTAACATCTATGAATCTATGAACCCCTTATTATGAGGGGGCACAGACTGTCCAAGCTGAACAGGTCACTAGCCAGTTACCAAACTGTGTGAAAAACTAATGTGTGCGCAAAACCAAAATCAGGTTTGGGGATTTTACAATGGCACCTGTCTTATGACACCTGTTGCAGTCAGGCGTTTTCTTGGATTCCCTACTTCTCCCTGCAGCTCCTTCCATGATTTCCCTCCCCTTCCTGTCCCAACCACTTGTATGTGACTGCTGCATGCTTCATAATAGCTGTGGCATTCTCCCAGAGGTGTCTGCATGCCAGCCATGGGTGATGAGGTCCCTGCAGAAGCAATTTATTAGGTGTTCTTGGATCTGTGGAGATGGAAGCACTGGGGAGATGCCAGATGTCATTTCTGACTGTTCTTTTTGCTTTCGGCTGATCACATTGCTCCATACTGAATTTTCCCTTATCTTTCCTCCCCTTCAAAATCTTTATGGTGTTCCTGTTGATTATCAACACCTGAGGAACCTGTAGATTTTTCTCTGCTCCACTTTCCTTTCTTGCTGGCAACACAGGCCCTACAATCCCTAGGCCTGGACGGAGTGAGGAAGCATGGTAATTAACATGCTAGACTCTCACCTGTTCTGGACATTACACCCCCAACCTCCATCAGTACAGAGGCCTCCCTACACTCAAGTAAAACTGATATGACCCTTCAATTCCAAGAGGTACCTTTTAGGTCAATAGACTCCCAAGTAGGAAGGAAAGTCCATGACTTTTTCTTCCCAGGGCCTGGATGGAGCTGCCAGTGGAGTAAATAGAAAGGTTCTATATGGGTCAGGTGAGGACTGTAGGAAATGCCAAGTGGGGATGCAGAATGAAGTTGTGGTCCCTGCCATCATATGACAGAGGGCTCAAGCCTGGCCTGTACACTGCTGCTGGGTGCCATGTGGTTCTGAATGATAAATGGAGCAATAATTACCTAAGCAGTGTACATATGCTCCTTTAAACTGTCCAGACCACTATGAGACAGAGAGAAGCCTGAGCTATTCATGAAGACAGCAAGATAATTGCTTCACCTGTAAATTCCAATGCTGCTCTCCTGTGCACCTGCTGAATTTGATAGTAATAAGTGGAGCCAAACTAACTCAAACCCCTACATTTGCTGTGGGGGCAGGATGGTCATTCCAGTGCAGTCATATTCTTACCTTACAAGCTCACACCCATTGCACAAGGCTGCTGAGCTACAATTAATTAGCAACAGGGTCCCAGATAGCAGTATACCTTAGCTCAGAGGTGGCCAACCTACAGTATGGGTGCCACAAGTGGACACCTCTGCATGTGGCACATAGCAAGTCATGGAGGGAGCAAGAAGTACAGCAACAGATAGGGAAGGGAGCAGAAAGCAAAGTAACAGATTGGGCAGGGAGCACAGGGAAGTAACCAGGAAGCAGAGCAACAGATGAGGCAAGGAGCAGAGTGGGAGCAGAAAGCAGAGCAGCAAATTGGGCAGGGAAAGGGAATCAGAGTGTCACTCAGGGAAGGTACAGGAACCGTAGACACTGTATTAGATGATGAAGCCAGTCACAATGGACAGGACACTGCTTCCATTCCAGCAGGCGGTGCAAGACACCAGCAGCAGGGTGGAGGAGAGGTTTGGCCTCAAGCACCCATTTTGAACACCCTCAAGAGACATTTGGATGTGTATCTTGCTGGGATCTTATGATCCCTGCTGACTTCCTGCCCCTGGGGCAGGGGGGCTGGACTCAATGATCCTCCGGGGTCCCTTCCAGCCCTAGTGTCTATGAAATCTTTGAAATCTCCTTTTGCTTTATTATCTGAATTCCCTGTCGATTCTTCCCACAGAGCTCCACTCCTGCCCAGGTAATAACAGGGGCTTAGATAGCCAAGTGAGGCTCTACTGTGAGGGAGCCAGGAATCCTTGGGTACTTTGGCTTGAAGCAGACAAGTGGGAACATCAGGGGTGGGGCAGCTGTCACAGGGCATGTCTGCAGTTGAAATTAATGTGAAGCAATAAACTCTAGTACATATCGCACTGGAGTTTATTGCTCCCAGGTGACACATCTTCACGAGCACCTGGGACCACAGAACATAGAGTCAAGCTGGAGCAGCCCCACCTGGCAGGGGGTCGAGGGGGTCAGCCTGCCAGCCTGGGGCTGCTCCAAACTGGCTCAACATGCTGCAAAGGGGCTGGCTAGGGCACAAAGGTGCTCCATTGTGGGGCTAGCTGGCAGGCACCCTTGTGCCCCAGCCAGCCCCATCAGTGTCTACATGTGCATTGTTGTGCAGTAGATAATATTGCCTCAGGATAGTATTTGTATTTACAAGTACTATGCTACCATGGTGTTTATTAGTTTACTGCGACCCAATAGGGTCACACGTGTAGATACAGAGAATTTAGTGTGGAGTTAATTAGGCAGCTCCACACTAAACATCTAGTGTAGATGCACCAACAGAGTTTGATATATTTCATGCTAGGGCAGCAAAAGGCAACTGTACCTCTCTGCCCAGGAGCTGTGAAGCTCCTCTAACTTGTGCCCTATTTCAGCAGCCCCTCTGGGGATTTGCAAAGGTGCAAGATCTTTTCAGGGTGCTCTTACCCCAGGATCAGTACCGTTGGAACCTTGTTGTTCTGATCTATATGAGAAGAGGAGGTATGGACACTCCTCTCTATCAGCATGCGGATGATAGGGCCAAGAGATTGCCTCTGGCTATGGGCCCATGTGAGTCATGCTTTTTCCTTGCAGTATGGGAGATGATGGTATTTCCAATAACAAAAAGAATCAAAATGTTCTGCTTGAAAGCAAATAATGCCTATAGATTTCAGTCTCCCAGCACATTCCCATGGCCATTGCATGTGTAAGATGGGCTCGTGGTCACCTCTGGCATCCAAACACCATGATGCAGTGCCTGGCTGGGGAGAACTGCCAGCAGGTGGGCACATGTGGGAAGTCAGAGGGGTCAGCATTTATGTGGAGGAATTTTCTATGAATTTCCAGATTTTCAAATATTAGGGGTTTTTTTTTAATTTAACCTTAATTTTGAATTTCCAGCCTTTCAGCTTTTTGTATTATAACTAATCATTTCATAAATGTTGGAGGATACAACTTTAAATATATCTTAATTGATCTGTCTAGAAATTTCAGTACTTTTTAAAAACAGACTTGCCCTTTATGTGCCTTTTTAACACATTGATAACAACATGTATATTATGTATCCTGTAATAGCGAATTTGAAGGTAGAAACATGAATGAACAATTCCTGCTTTAATGCAATGGACACAGTTTTATGATCTTGTGTAGGAGTGTTCCTTAATCTATCTTCATACTGTAGCTATGTTTCTAATTATATTTGGCTAATTAGAGGCATGTACACTTATTTTGCTCAGTAGGAAAAGATGTGCTGTTTGGATGTGGTTATACACCATGGTGATGAATGATGTGGAGAAAAAGATTATATTCAGGTGCCTCTGTCAGAGTGCCTTTGATTTTGTGGATTGCATAACATGAAAGGACAGACTTGTTACAGCCTTTGTGTGACTAAGAGTAAGATATTAAAGTTTGATGTATGTTCCAGAAGAAGCTACACGATAGATGAAGAAGGCTTATTTAGATTGCGGTTACTGGGCACATCTACATGAGACATTTACTGCAGAGCTGACTAATTAGCTCTTCAGTAAAATGTCTACACATGCAAGTCTATTAGGTCACAGTAGACTAATAAACACAGCCACAGGTGGCAGCATTGTTTAATCCACCACCAGCGCATGGTGATGGGGCTGGCTAGCCCCACACTGGAACACCCTTGGGCCCCAGCCAGCTCCCCTCTCCTGCACCAGCCCCCCTGCTGTACATGAAACCCAGGTAGACCAGCCGTGGACTGGCAGGGGACCCAGGGCTGCTCTGTAGCAGCCTCCAGAGCAGCCTGCCAGCCCAGGGATGCTCCAGCCTGGCTCAATATGCTACAGAGGGGCTGACTGAGGCATGAGGGTGCAGCCCCCATGCTGAAGCATCCTCCTGTCTCAGCCAACATCTGCCGCTGCAAATGGAGCCTGGTCAGACCCCCTGGGTCCCCTTCCAGCCTGGGCTTCTTCAACCAGTCTCCATGTGCTGCCCACAAATAAACTCTGGGGCAATATGCTCTGGAGTTTTTTCCTCCCAGGCATGCATTCAAATGGTGCACCCAGGAACAAACAACTCTAAAGCAATAAGCTCCAGAATTGATTCATGTGCATTAATTGCACTTGTAGATGTGCCCACTGTGTGCTTTTGGTACATGGCTTCCAGGTTGTTTGGGAGCTATTCATTATATATTTCCCCATCTAATGGTCTGTGCGTGAGCAGTGTGTTAAGGTTGTTGTTAAGACTATTAACATGCTCTTATCATACTATCTCCATACTTCTGAATATTTGGCCTGTCATTGGGCAACTTCCTTGAACTTAATGTAGTGATCCTGACTGTCCTTGAATGTGGCCACTTGTTTCATTTATTTATATTTAAGAATGTGATCTGTTATATTCTCTGGATGTTTCTTTTGCATGTTACTTGTCTGATGGTAAGGGCCTGATCTTACATGCTGATGCAGGCGTTTAATTTTGTGTATGGGAGTACTCCATTGATTTTCAAAGAGTAGCATTAGGTAACAGCTGAGCACTTTGGTATATCCCAGCCTTAGAGCCAGGGACAGATCCAGAAGGGGTGTTGGGGCATAGTCTTTCTACAGGGTAGCTTAGCAGCTCGAGTTCCCCATAGACCCCAATGCCTGGGTCCTCTGCAGAGGCCACATCAAGGGATCAGCAGCTGTTTGATTTTTTTGCTGTTTGTTTTTGAAGTCTCCAAAGTCAGTAAGAATCCTTTCTTCCTCTTGCCACTCTCTTCCTTCCCCTGCAGGCTCAGTGGCACACACCCCTCTCCACCTTTCCCTTCTACTTGCACCTTTGGGCACAGGAAGGGGAGAGGAAGATTACCTGGGGGCAGAGGAAGCCCCAGAACTACTCCTATCCCCAACTGCAGTCAGGGCTGCAGAGAGTGGCTGCACTGGGAACCAGGCTCAGCCAGCAACAGTGGAAGTGATGATGGCAGCTGAGGTCCCAATTCCTGTCCAAACCTCCTAGCTGTTCTCTGCCAGCACTGGTCAGTTAGCCCAGGTCCCCAGCAACCACTCTTCATATCCCCCATTGGAGTGGGGAGAGAGAGAGCAGTGGCAACAGGCAGGTCTCCCTGCTTCTTGCACCCAGTATAAGGGGCCAGGGTGTAGGCCGTCTGGTATAATGGTCAAACTACTGAAGGAAAGCAGGGCCCTGGGGCTGGATTAGAGGACAGGAGCCGTATTTCTACATCTAGAGGGAAATCTGGGGGCAGAGTCCACAGCACAGTTCAGGGTGAGGATCTGGGATCAAATGGCAGATACCAATCTGAGGGATAATCCACAGAATGAAGTCCAAGAGGAGAACCAAACCAGGGTGAGGAACCAGGAAACAAATCCACAGGGAAAGCCAAAGTCAAAATCCCCAAATAAGCCAAAACTAGAGAGCAGGAACCAACAGACTTGCAGAACAGAAAGGCTGACTAGCCTGCAAACCCAGCAGGTGCTAAATGCATAGGCAGAGCTCCAAGCAGCCAATCAACCTGCTTGCTATTCCTAAACTGGGGCAGAGTTCATTAGCTGAAGTTTACTGCAAATGTGGCTGTTGACCTACTTGACCCAGGCTGGCCTGCTTGATCAGTCTCTGGCACCCAGAGGCGTAAGTAGAGTGGGCAAGGGAGGGATGGGAAATGACAGGATTTGCCACTGAGCATGGTAGGAAAGTGAAAATATTTCCAGAATGGCAGGAAGGGTCCTTACCTGATTCAGGTGTAACCTGGGTACACCCAAGGGTATGCCCTATTCTCAATTGAATGGGATGGGTAGGCAGCAGGGGGTGCTGTGAGAGGGATGCCAGAATTTCAAGCAGATACCCTTTCCTCTATAGAGTTAACTCAAACTTAAAGTTCTTAACTATATACAATTTATTAAGTTTATAAATTTATTAAGTTATAATAAAGTTATATGCATAAACATAAAACTAAATATCATATACATATATTTACACAGCGAACACTAACCAATAACCAAGGTCAAACCCTAAATAACACTATTTACAACATCACAATACAACATTTAAATTACAAAATATAAGGCGCAAACATGAACAATCTTAATAACATATATCCCTTAATATAGTCCCTGACCCGTGGCAAGAGATAGTCCTCCTTCCAATGGGGTCCCTTGAGGGGTGTCCAGGAAGCACCAGGGGCCCCTCCCCTTAGGGCCTTAACTAGGTGGGGGGCTGCTCACCCAGCCCGTTCCCTGGGTTTGCCTACCCCAAATGTCTTTTCCCTGTGGGACTCAAGGGCCCAATGACTCATGCTCCCTCTCAGTGGTCAGGGTGCAGCTTGATGGGGTCTCCTCTGCTAGAACACCTCTCCAGGCCTCTCCTGTGCCGCTGGGTTCCTCCCTACCCTGTGCCCCACTCTGGGTACCAAGGGCTCAGCTCCTCTCAGCTGCTGGCTCCTGTCACGCTGCAGCACTACCATTTCCCCATGCCCTGGCTCAGCACTGAGGGCTATCTTAGCACAGGATGGGCCCTTCAGGCTCTCACCAGCCATTCTCACACTGGATGGTTAACCCAAGCAGCCTCTGCTGCTCCCTGGCTCCCAGGGCTCGGGCCCATGCACCACCCTGCGCACCGCAGGACCTGGATGCTTGCTGGGAGATGGGGCCTGAGCTGCTTCACTGCAGCCCCAAGGCCTTTGGCCTGTGCACTGCCCCACACACTGTGTGGCCCGCTGGCCCAGCTGGGGTTGCAGGCTTAAGCCACCACTTGTAACTCCCAAAGCCTGGGCTCTGTGCACCAAACCATGTACCGTGATGAGCCTCAGCAGTCTCACACCACTCCCACAGATGCTCCTCTGGCAGCAGCTTCAGGAACCTTGGGCCTACTGCCCACTGGGGGATAGCTCCCCAGCTTTTCCTGCCTCTGCTCTTCTTGAGTCCCTCACTGCATCTGCCCCTTGTGCTGGGTACACAGCTCCTTTTATACGCTCCAGGGCCCCACCCCTGAAGTCTTCCAGACCTGACAGTTTACAGTCTTCAATCAGGTCCGGGAGAGCTCTTCTGCCCCTCCCCTCAGGAAAGGGGCGTGATTTTATTTCTTCTGCTGCCTCCTGATTGGTGAATGGGCTCCACCAATGAAAACAGCAGGATCTCAATCCTGGGACTCAACCCAAGCTCTGAAAGGTGAGCCTGCTACACAGGGACTTGAAAAAAGTCCCTGGCTTCTACTCCCAGGATGTGGTCTACCTGCCCCAGTGGAGGGGGGGCGGGAATTGGGAGTAAAGGGTACAGCCACCCCTGCAGCACCAGTTGCTGCTTCTGCAACCCCTTTTTCAAAATTTGGGATCTGCTTGGACTTACAGCATCGTCATTGGGACAAGAATTGTGGTTTTTTACACACTATCCAGTTCACAGCACAATGGGGCCTCAAACTCCACTGGGGCTCCTGGGTATTACTGTAACACTAATTCTATATTCTAATATTATAAAAGCCTAAGTCTGTCTGGCTGTCTGTAATGTTTTATTCATGCTCTGATTGGCTGATGGAAACAGCCAATCGGAGTGTGAAGTGTTCTGACAGAAGGTAGCCCACTGCCATGATGGTGGGGACGCAGGGGACACAGCGATAGTGGCCTGCCCACCCCCCCCATCCCCGGCCCTGCTCCTTGGAGGCAGCAACAACAGAGCAGATGGAAAGTGGGGGATGAGGCCAGTAGGGCTGGCCTGGCACCCCGCACCCACGCCCTGCAGGTAATGCAGGGAGGAAGGGGAGCAGACCTGGGCCCAACAGTGGGGGGAGGGTTGGGGGAAAAACGTTCTCACAAATATAAAAATGAACAGATGTAGCTATTGGTGCTTCCAACGCCTACTGACAGAAAACATCTGTGCTGAACTTCCTG